ATGTTTATGCAAATGAAGCGGGAGGGGGATTTAAATCCCCGCTTCATTTGCAATTGCGATGTGTCTAATTTGCATCCCTTTTACGGAAAAGGGATGCAGTCTAGACATAGCCATAATGTTCTTCTATGTGTCTAACAATTTTATTGTTTACTATTGTTTCAACTAATTTACCCGGTACTGATGTTAAACTTACCTACCTGTAATTGCCGGGATTGCCTCTAGAGCCCTTTTTATACATTGGCATTATATTAGCTATCTTTCAGTCATTGGGTACAGAAGCTGATTTAAAGGATAGACTATAAACCATAGTAAATAGTTCCACAATTTCACATTTGAGTTCTTTCAGAACTCTTGGGTGAATGCCATCTGGTCCTGGTGTCTTGTTACTGTTAAGTTTATCAATTAATTCCAAAACCTCCTCTAATGACACTTCAATCTGTGACAATTCCTCAGATTTGTCACCTACAAAGGATGGCTCAGATTTGGGAACCTCCGCAATATCCTCAGCCGTGAAGACTGAAGCAAAGAATTCATTTAGTTTCTCTACAATGACTTTTGTATCTAGATTGTCCAGGGGGGCCCCACTGGTTGTTTTGCAGGCTTCCTGCTTCTGATGTACTTAAACATTTTGTTATTACCTTTTGGCTACATCTACACTGGCATGATTTTCCGGAAATGCTTTTAACAAAAAAGTTTTCCATTAAAAGCATTTTCGGAAAAGAGCATCTAGATTGGCATGGACGCTTTTCCACAAAAGCATTTTTTCCTGGAAAAGCGTCCGTGCCAATCTAGATGCACTTTTGCGCAAAAAAGCCCCGATCGCCATTTTAGCCATCTGGGCTTTTTTGCACAAAACAGTACTGTGCTGTCTATACTGGCCCTCTTGCGCAAATGATTTAGTATACAGAATAATTGTGTACTAAAGCATGTGTGAATGTACACCACCTGCAGAAACAAAAAACCTAACTGTGGCTGCTTTGCTAATCAGCTAGAGGGCATCTGAATGGCTGCACTAACATAACTTAACACGGAACACTGATGCCCAGCCAACAGCCACTGCTTTCTGGCCACCCAGCTCTGAAGGCAGTGCAAAATGTAAGGCTGGCAATGCTGTGACCCCCATAAAATAACCTTGTGACCTGTTTTCCCTCTAAGCTGCTTGGCAACACAGCTTCACAGGTGATTAGTCAGCCCCACCCATGAAGCTCCCTACAAGAAGCCCTAACCCTCTGACTGGGTGGGGTCGATTAGTCACTTATGAAGTTGTGCTGCCCCACAGCTTATGACCCCTATAAAAACTTCCTTTTGGGTTAGAACCCCCCAGTTTGAGAAATGCTAGTCTCCCCTCCCCCATGAAGTCTGTACAGCATAGGACCACACAAGAGACCAGATTTCATGATCTGTGATGCATTTTTCACAAATGCGAGTTTGGTCTTGTCCTACTTAAAACCTATGCACTAAAAGTAATACTGGTAGTGAAGAATTTAAAATAGTCCACTGGGACACTAAGATTTCATATATTACAGCTAGGTCTATTAGGAAAACACACAAATGGTCTGGTAGCACTTTATAGACTAACAAAACATAGATGGTATCATGAGTTTTTGTGGGCACAGCTCACTTCTTCAAAGTTATTTAGAAGAATATCTATAAAATAATATTGTACTTAAAGACTTGCAAGTTTGCAGAAGTTATATTTGTACATTCATTTGAGTTTCAGAACCAAAGTAATTATGAAATCAAGAGTAATTCAAATGATTGTTTAAAGAACATTTTAAAAAAGTCTCGTCTTACAACCATGATGGAAGTTTTGTAAAATCCTGCAAACTAGACCATACAGTCTGAAACTAGCAGTTTTGTTGCAAATAATTATAACCTACTCTGTTCTCAAAAGAGAAAATTATGCTATTGCTCAACTCCTTTAATGTGATTTATTTCTCACCTCTCTGTGGAAAGGGTGGAGTTTGAATGCTCTTTTCAGGCAAGAGGATAAGATATGCTAATTTGTTGACCATTTCTCAAGGCAACAAAATGGTACAGGCCACAACATACTGCTCAATGGATGGCATCTTGTCAGATGCAGACATTAAGTTACATTTTACCACTGTGTTATGCTAAACCTGAAACACACCAAAAGAAAAAAAACCCTCATCTGAATTCAAATTTATTTTAGAATATTTCCTGAAGCCTATGCAATCTACAGTTGTTCACTTGAACAAATTCACTTTCAGCCTTCTAGTGTTCACTAGCTATTTGCTTACACTTGGGATAGCTAACAAGTGTTTGTTATTGAAGCTAAGACATAAGTAGTTGAAGGCATTGTAAGGTCAGGACCTGAGTAAACAGGAATAACTCACATGCTCATAATTAAGCATGTTTGCTTGCAGAGTGTTTAAAGAGTAACTTTGGAGACAACAAACACTTTCTTCTTGTTACCACTAAAGGTTTACTTCCAAGTACATGATAAGCAAAGTGGATCTTTGCCCAGGAAAGCTTATGCTCTAAAATATCTGTTAGTCTATAAGGTGCCACAGGACTCCTTGTCACGTTTGCAGATTCAGACTAACACAGCTACCCCTCTGATACTTAACTACAGGATAGTGTTGTTGTTTTTAAACTCTCTCTCTCTCTAAAGTCCTCTGTTGACTACCAACTATGACAAGCAGGGATTATTTTTAAGAGTGTGTGTGTGTGTGTATATATATATATATATATATATATATAT